ACAGCTCCTTTCCACATATATGATTTTGAAAATATTACATGAACTAATAATAAAATGAAGAAACCATAATATAAGTGTAGTAACAGGCCTAATTGAACTAGCTAAATCTAAACATTTTATAACCATGATACTTGCTAAACAATAATATTAGTAGACATTAGCAAAGATAAGATTTTCTTTATTTTATAAATTTATTATATTTTAAATTCATTTTTATTAATATATTTATTACTCTATTATTCAGCAGAGTTCTGAATATATTATGTTCAAATAACTCAAGGTTCAATAACAAAGGAAAATAATGAAAAAATCCCAGGTTGCTAAAACATAAACATCTACATAAGATTAAAATAGAATATTGAACAAAAATAGAAATACAAAAATACAAAAATATTCATTATTAATATAAAATATAATAGTAGAATATAAGGTATATTATAAAATATGGCACAATAATGTCTATGTTTGATTGAAAATAAAAGCAACATAAGATTAAAATAGAATATTGAACAAAAATAGAAATACAAAAATACAAAAATATTCATTATTAATATAAAATATAATAGTAGAATATAAGGTATATTATAAAATATGGCACAATAATGTCTATGTTTGATTGAAAATAAAAGCAACAAAAATTAAAACAGAAAATATTTAAATAAATAATAAATTATCATTCAAACAATTTTAAAGACCAAAAATAACTTATATTTTACTCATCTTTATCTAATAAACATTAATATTAATACCAATTTTTAAATTATTAGAATTTTTTTTTTATAAAAAAATAAAAATGTCATATCAGTTATTTTTTGGGGTTTTCTAATTTTGCTTAAAACGTCAACTCAATCCTAGACTTTTTTCATAATTGAGTTTTAATTTGTAATGTTAAATTAACACTAAAAACAAAATGTTAGCAAAAAAAAAGAAAATATTTCTTTATTGAAATTTTAGATTGATTGTTATAATTATAAATTTATATCAATTAAAATTTTTTTCTTTTCCGCCACCTTTTTTGAAATGGAGCTTATTTTAAGAAGTTAGACAAAATGCCATCAATTAAAGTTTCAGTCGTTCCATCGTATTAAATAGAAGAACTTGTAAATAAAAAAGAATAAGAAAAAAAAAAAAACACAAGAAGAAATTTTTAAGATTTGATGCTTAGGAAATTTGTTTTAAAACTATGTATGCATTATATGCTTTTTTGTCGCGTATTTTATGACGTTTTTTGTTTTGATTTTTGCGTTTGTTTACTAAAACTTAGACTAAGTTTTAGCAAAAAAACTCAATTATAAGAAGACCATGTTTTTTTTATAATTGAGTTTTTTTGTCAACAATGATTTAAAGTTGAAATAACGTTAAAAACCAACGTTTAAACCGTAACGTTGATTTAACGTTGAAATAACGTTAAAAAACAACGTTTAAACCGTAACGTTGATTTAACGTTGTGACATAGGTGGACAACGTTGAAACAACGCTTCAACCGAAATTCAACGTTGAAACAACGTAATGATGCCGGCTAGGTCGTATTGAATAATAAAAGTGAATTTGAGTAATTGCATAAAAAACCAAATAATAATAGAAAAAGAAAGTATGATTTTCTATCCAAATTTGTACAACTAGTTTTACAAAGGCTCACAATTCAAAACATCCGAATATTTTCTTAAAAATAAAGATTTAAAAAAGTTAGTTTGTATTCCTTATGGTTTTTATATCTCTAAGATGTAAAAACAACAATCATTGTAACAAACTATAAACCAGATGGTAAAACTTGACTATGATGTGATTCTCATACGATAGATTTTTTAAAACAACTTTCAAATTTAACTACTATTATCAATAGACTATTAACTTGGTATAACTTTTTTCAAATTAAGTTTTCCCATTAATCAGATTGCTCATATTTCTTTTCAACCAGTAGTGCTCAAAAGTAGAAATTTTGCGTTATTGAACGCCCCTTGGATAGTTTTGGGTAACGGGAAAATGTATGTTGCAGATATTTTTATCCTAATGTATATTACTTGATATTGTATTTGTTTATAAAAACTCAGCAATTCTTCTCATTTCAAACAACTTTTTAAACTGCATGAATTTGTTACATTAAAACATGGAAAACTATGAAAAACGACTTTAAAGTCAACGTTTTGTGAAACTTCGAACCGCAATAACTTTTGAAACGCTTTGAATTAGGGTCTCAACCTTTCAGGTTTTTCTCATAAAATGATTTGAAGAAATCCCTGAAATTTTAAAGTTATTGAATTTTTATTTTTAAAATTCAATTACTCAACTATTTAAACTTGCCTCCTAATTATATAAAACGACTCTCAAAATTCGAATCATTTACCGTGAATTGGAAAATTCGCGCCAAAAAAAAAAATTTATATTGCGCCTAATTCTAAAAATGATTTTTTAAAAAAACTAAAACACAAAAAATTAACATAAAAATCCATGTAAATAAAATAAGGCTCTGGTGTAAAGTTATTTATATTTAAATTCCCTTAAAAAAGAATCCAATTATTACACTAAATGCAGGCTTAGTTCAGGTTAAAAATTATATGATGTTTCATATCGTATTATTTTTATTGTATTTCCTTAAATTAAAAAAAATAACAATTCTTTCTCCTCGCAGGGTAAAAAAAACAAATAAACTATTAAATTTATCATTGTTTTAAATTAAATATATAAATTATAGTTAAATAAAAATTACTAGGTTGGTTGAAAAGTTCGCGGAGCGGCACCTATGTTGCAGTAGTAGAAACAAATTTATAACTGTATTAAACGTATTCATTCTTCGTATGAACGCATAAAAAATTTCAAGTCAATATGTCATTTCAGTCTTTGTTTACAAGCTATTGAAATTAGACGTGTCATAGTATTTTTTAAAATGGAAAATATTGAACATCGTGCTGTAATAAAATTCTTTGTGAAAAAAGGTTTAAAGCCCATGGAAATTCATAATGAAATGGTAAATGTGTTGGGTGATGATGCTCCTTCAAAAACAACAGTATGCAAATGGGCTGCGGAGTTTCAACGTGGGCGTTCAAGCCTTGAAGATGACCCTCGCTCTGGACGTCCAAAAAGTGCTACTACTGAAGAAACGATTAATGCTGTGCATGACATGGTTATGGATGATAGACGATTGACCAAACGTGAAATTGCTGAGGCTGTGGGCATCTCAGATGAACGGGTATTACACATCTTGCACGATGAATTACGTCTGAGAAAGCTGTTGGCAAGATGGGTGCCGCATTCGCTAACTCTGGATCAGAAACGCACTCGAGTAAAACTTTCTCAAGAACATTTGGCCCGTTTTCAAAAGAATAAAACAGATTTTGTGCGTCGATTCGTAACCATGGATGAGACTTGGGTTTACCACTATGATCCGAAGCTGCGACAACAAACTGCAGAGTGGACAGAACCCGGTTGTTCAGCTCCGAAGCAAGTGAAGGCGTCAAAATCGTCAAAGAAGGTTATGGCATCAGTTTTTTGGGATGCGAAAGGAATTTTATTAATAGATTACCTTCAAACCGGTAAAACGATAACAGGTGAATATTATAAAAATCTTTTGGACCAGTTGGATAAAAAAATTCGTGAGAAAAGACCTGGTTTGCTGCATAAAAAAAATCATTTATCACCAGGACAACGCACCTGCTCATATCAGCGATGTTGCAAAGGCGAAATTGGTCGAATTAAAGTACGAACGCTTGGAACATCCACCCTATTCACCAGATCTGGCTCCGTCCGACTTCCACCTCTATCCACATCTCAAAAAATTTCTACGTGGAAAGCGTTTCTCATCACATGAAGAAGTCATTGCAGCCGTAAATGGGTATTTTGAAGGCCTTCCGGAATCGCACTTCAGAGATGGGATACATGAATTGGAGAATCGTTGGAAAAAGTGTATTGCTCTTAAGGGAGAATATACTGAAGAATAAAGTCATTTTTTGAATCATAAAATTGTTTTTTCATTTCCGCTCCGCGAACTTTTCAACCAACCTAGTATATTTATAAATGCATATAAAAACATCTTAAATGCATAACTCGAAGACTGAGAAAAATCCTCTTTAGTCTTTGCAAACCTATTTGTTCCAAAAAAAAAAAAAAAAAAAAAAAAGGAAATAGAAGGATGATTCCCTTTCATGTTTAAAAGAGCACTTTAATTGTTTCCAAGTCATTTTTATAACTCTCTGTAACTGCAGGTGTGTATGTCTTGCCAAAGTGACAGACGTGTGGGGTTGTTAATAATATCTTGAGAATTTTTAAAAAGCATTTGTCTATTTTACATATTGGTATTGGTTAATCTATTACAGTAAGTATGATCATAATAGTAATACTTTAAACCAAGGTTGCTTAATTAAGGTTCCAAAAGTCAAATTGTAATTCTGTAAAAAAGGTTTTTAATTATTGAAAAAACTTAATACTCTTATTTCTTAACAACTATAGTTTATTCAACTAACTAAACATAAAGAAATTTTATGTAGGCGAGCAAAGGATTAAGCTAATTACTTTGGCGCTTAAATTATTTAAATGGCGATTAAATTAATTACTTTGGCGCTTCCCTCTCCTACAAAAAAACCAGGATAATGGTCACCCTATACCATTTATTTTTTCTAATAATTATACAAATTATTATCTCTAATATATAGTACATATATCAATACTGATCATATGCATGTCAAATTATTATAGATTATCTAGGAAATTGTGTGTAAGAAGTAATTGTTGATTAAGTACAAACTTTCTAGTGTAATACAAACATGCATTAGTGTAAAGTATTGCATGTTCTTATTTAGTGCAAGATTGATTGTATTTGCTGAAAGATTTTTTCCAAATTAATAAAGTTAAATGAGTTAACTAAATTTATCAACTAATGCTCACATTAACCCTTAAGTATAATTCCATTTAACGATAAGTTTCAATTACAAAGATGTGTCAAATAATTCAAATAAAAACTTTTCTTAAAAGCATAACTATTTTTTTTTATTTATAATATTATTTAGATACATGTTGTGTTGATATCAATAATACTGATAGACAATATTCAAGGAAGTATTGGTATGGGTTGTATTATTATATTTATTAGTATTATATAATATATATGTGTGTGTGTGTGTGTGTGTGTGTGTGTGTGTGTGTGTGTGTGTGTGTGTGTGTGTGTGTCTATATATATATATATATATATATATATATATATATATATATATATATATATATATATATATATATATATATATATATATATATATATATATATATATATAATTATGCTCAATATAAAACATAATGTCAATGATGTGAAACTATTAAAAGAAAATTAAAGAAATATAAAAATAAATTTAAGTATAGAAAACTTCATTATGTTTTGTGTTCAATATAGCTAAACTATGCCTCAGAAAGGATTACCATTTTTGTGTAGTAAATAATTTGTTAAATCAATATTAATTACTTTACTGATATTCTAATTTACATTTAGATCTTGTATTTAATTATCTATTTGTATTTAAGATAATCTTTGTAATTTCGACATTCTGTTAGTAAAAGGAAAACTTATTGGCCTGCTACCTAAACTAGATAAGGAGTTTTTGGTTTCCTTTGATGTCTACCCAAAGAAGTTTGTTGCTGGTTATCACAGTGTTATTCATTTAACTATTGGTTCTAATTATGGTCAATATGGTGATCGTGTTCCAGGTATCTGGTTTAATGACAAGGGAGATGGTAGTATTTACATTTCAGCACCAATTAGTGGTAATATTAATAAATTTTTCATCACAAATCCAATCAAATTAAATAATTGGTCTAATGTTAAAGTTAGTCAAATTTTGAAAAACTTTGATTATGTATACACAATTAGATTAAATGGAGAAGTTGTCTTTACTTATATTAATAACAATGTTCAAAGTTTTGATAATGTAAAAGTATATGCATCTGATCCTTGGCATGATGTTCAAGATGGTTTAATAAGGAATTTGTTTATTATCACTGGTATTTCAAGTATGTTTTTAAATATTTATTTATAGTTTTCAAACTTTTTTAATTTTTCTCTATGTTGTTTATAAGTTTGTTTACTGTTTAACTTTTTTAGGTAATGGTCTGCAACCAATAGTTGTTCTACCTACAGGTATATATAAAACATTTTTATTTATTTATAATTTTTTTTTTTATCTTTTTTCTAATGCATTGATGCTTTTTTAATCAAAGTGCTTTAGTAAATCAATTCCTAAATGCAAAATGAGTTATCAGTTGGTAGATATATAATAACTGAGGATTTTGGGTACATAAAAAATTGTTGTCCTGCACTTATATTTGTGTTTAATGAGTACAAAAATAAAACTACTTTAGCGTCAACATTTATAACTTTTCAGAAGTAATAAATGATTTATCTATAGCTAAAAAATGTACAAGTTTTTAACTTTAGATGTCTTGCTAGAGTCTTTATTAAAACACTTTTTTAAGAACTATTTTTCTGATCAAGGGAACAAGTTCACATATATAATGTGTAGTGCAGGAAAATCTAAATGAATCAAAAATAACATTTGTCATAGAGCAAAGTTACAAATCTTTACATTTGTATATTTTACTCTCTTAGCATCAAGATAATAAGTGTAAGATTGTTCAATAAAATAAAGAGCATATATCCTATTTTTCTTTTGATAATTTGACAATTATTACTAGGCTGGCATCTGTGGCTTCAGTTGCCAAAACTTTCTTTATACACAAAAATCATAGTTCATCAATAAACTTTGTGGGGTTTTGAAGCCGCAAGGTTTTTTGTCACAACCATATGCCATATGCTAAATGGTATACAAACATTTGATCTTAAACCTTGTGTAGAGCTTTATAAACAGTTTTTCTACCATAATCTTTTGAAGGTGCAAGTTTTTTGTTAAAATGTTATGTTTAACCTTTTATGTTTAATAATTTGTCTTTAATTTTACTTTAAATAGAATTTTTCTTTATAACTATTTAAAATAGAAGGTAAAAGTCATCAATTATATGATGATATTATAAAAGTTAATTGATATTTTTAAACGTTCAATCATTAGATTACATTAGATTAGATAAACTTCCTTTAATGTAAGTTATTTTGAAAACAGAACAGTTGAGTAAGTACAATCATAACATTTTTTAAATAGTTGATATTGTATTGTACTGTTTCCTTATTTATGTTGCTTCTGTAATTGTCAAATTAAAGTTATTTTATATGTGACTTTACAATTGTTTTCAGATATTGATAAATGTGCAAACTTGACTGATTACTGTAACTGGGCAAACAGTGATTGTCTGAACACTAATGGAAGTTATTATTTTACTTGCAAGTGTGTTGGTCAGTTTTTTGTAATGTTTTTTTAAATTTTGTTTTAACTTTTAATTTTTAGCATCTTATTTTATGTACTGTATTTTTAGCATATTATTTTATATACTGTAACTGGGCAATCAGTGATTGTTTGAACACCAACGGAAGTTACTATTTTACTTGCATGTCTGGATGGAGGTTGAAAAATAACAGCTGTGTTGGTCAGTTTTTTGTAATGTTTTTGAATTTTGTTTAACCACATTATTTTTAGCATTTTATTTTATGATTAGTCACTAGGCCTGCTTTATCAAATAATTTTCATAGTATTAACTTTAGGGTATATAGTATAATAAAAAACAGCAAAGTTGTATCAATCTTAAAAAAAAATAAGATCACACATTTATTTATATTTTTATTTATTTATATTTACCTGTTATATATATATATATATATATATATATATATATATATATATATATATATATATATATATATATATATATATATATATATATATATATATATATATATATATATACCTGTTCTTTAATTCAAAATTATTTTGATTTCGACATGGTTTTTTGTCTAAATTGTAATTTTTTAAATAAATTTTGATTTAACTTATGATTGCACAGAATGTTTTTTAAAAAATTTACTCTGCTAAAATGGTGTCTAAGGATAGACAGGATATTAAATGCTTTAAAGTTTTCTTAAGTCTCATAAACACCTTAGTTATGCTTTTGTATGGTGAATGAGTAAAAATCGAAAATTTCTATAATGTATTCATTATTATTTATTATGTATTTATCATTATATATAATTCTATGTTTAAAACTATATATTTAGAAAATGTACAGATTTTATATATTGAATATATGTAAATATTTTAACGTTACTTGCATTATTTAAATACTTTTTTAAAGTAACTATTCCCTAAAATGAGGTAGTTTTTAGTTTTATGTTTTATGATTGAACCTTTATAGTTAGAGGTTTACTGAAAGTACACTTTAAATTTGGTGGTTGCCAATGCCTGCCAACTCTGCTAAAAATCCTGATATTTATGTGTAATTGACCATACATTGGATTATGGGATGTCTTGCAGGGCCATATTATAAAAACATTATAAATTAATTATTCACCTTGTTGTTGACAAAATATATTTTATATAATAACTTTATTTGATTTTGCTTTTAAAGAACAAAGTCACATTTTCTTCAAACACTCATAATATTAGATATCCTAGCCTTTTGTGCAGCTGTTAGTTGTGTAAACAAGCTTAAAAAGAATGTTGGAAATATCTTTTTTTAGATTTCTAAAGGATAATGATAATTAAAAATTATTAATCAAATCAAATTTATTAAAAAACTGGTATATCAAGAATTTAAAATAGCTTTTAAACACTGTTACACTTTAATGTTATGAAATGTATAATATTTTTACATAATATGATGCAATTAATTCCAGTAAATTAATTAGTTTTTAATCTATTATCTTAAACCAAAAATACAAGTAAACTATGCTGCGTCGACAACAAATAAAAGTTTTGGGCTATTGAAAAATACTTTTATATTTTGAGCGCCAACACTATAGAAGAAATTCTACACAAAATATGTCAGATCACATTTGGAATATGTAGTATGCATTTGGTCACCATTAAAAAAAAAACTTGATCAAAAAACACTTTAAAAAGTTCAGCAATGAGCCACCAAGATTGGACATGCAATGAGACAACATAACTATGAAGAAAAACTAATAAAACTCAACCTAACTAATCTAACTGTGTGCTGACAAAAGGGCAACCTCATTCGAGAATTCAAAATCATAAAAAAAATTGAAAAAGTGAAATGGTGTGTAACAAAAATCACATAAGAGCCAAGAGCTGTTTGCAGAGGAAAACTTACCAACAATCATAAAAGATATAGAGCTGTTTGCAGAATTATATCAAAATAAACCATTTGCAGATTTATATCAAAGTTCGCAGAATTAAATCAAAATGTCTTCATACTCCTTTCAATAGAACAATTCTAATAGTAATTGTCTCCCAGAATTAGATTTCTCTGCTAGATTTACCATTGCCTAAATAACCATCATAGTATTTAAAAATCAAATCTCTACAAATTAACAGTTGATTTTACAAACAGACAACTACATTTTCAAATAGAAATTGCAACCTTATGCATTGCAAAATGTTTCAACTGATTCAGTTTTATAGTCAATTAATCAAATCAAAATAAATTGCAGATGATTTGATAAAAAAGTTCAGTTTTGAAATAATGCGTTTAATTTTTTTCAAGTGTGACACCCCATGAATTTAACTTATTTAATACTGTATTTTTTTTTTAAATTCATGAAATGGAAACTGTTGTTATACTGGAAATGAAACTTTTATTAACTAAACAAAAAATTGTACAACAAATTATTGAAGTAATAAAAAATGGTTGCAATTTTAAATTTCTTTATGATAAATATGTTGATCATGCCTTGTATGTTGTAGAAAGTCAAAAAATCTGAAACTTTATTTGTATGTCAATATCTTATTATATAAGGTTTTATAATCGAGATCTGGTACCACAAAGGCATGTAAAAAAAGTTAGCTCGCATTATATATGCTTGATTTTTTTTAGAGTAATGCTTGAAACAAGATATTTCTTATTTATATATGTTGTTTTTTCTCTTGGTATAAATAACTAATTATTTAGCATCTAAAAAATAGGTATATATTTAAACTTATATGAAACCAATACAGTTACAATGTGATTAAAAAGATTTATACAAAACATGTTTAATTTACATCAAATTTTAACTGCATTAATATGATAATGTTAAATGATATATTAATGTTATATAAGCAATCTTGTGAAATAGTTTTTAATTTATTTTAATTTTATGGGAATTATTTTAATTTTTATGGGAAACCCACTGATAAGAATAATGAAAAGTTTTTATATTTCACTAAGAGTTGCGTACTGTTATAATTATATCATCCTGCAAGTCATCCCATAATTTGCGATTAAAATTACATACATTTATTGGAGGATGGCAGGCATTGGTGGTTATTTATTTTGAAGAATTTGTTACTATATAAGATGTCTCTTTGTAATTATTAGTTGAAATAACTAAATGCGGGTTTTACACTCTATGAGTGATGACTACTTGTTTTGTAAAATGACTTTTTTTTATTACATTTACATGGAGAAATATTCATTACCAAAAATGCCTTCAAATGGAAAAATGCAATTTTGGAACACATTTATGTATAGGCTGGCGTCTGTTGCAGAAAAAGTTTTTAAAGAAATCCCTTTAGTTATGCTCCTTTAGTAATTAAATTTCACCTTTAGTAATTATATATATATATATATACATATACAAATATATATATATATATATATATATATATATATATATATATATATATATATATATATATATATATGTACATAAAACAATTATTATATATATATATATATATATATATATATATATATATATATATATATATATATATATATATATATATATATATATATATATATATATATATATATATATATATATATATATACATATATATAAATAATAAAAAATATATAATAAAAATATTCTGAAGAGCTAAACAAACTAATTTAATTGTAAAAAGTTTCTAGATTTTTCGGCCCCAATAACCTGATAATCAAAAATTATCAAACTTTTGCTATATTTAGTAACCATCCAGTTTCATATGTGTGTATACAATGTTTTATTATCTTTATACATTAATCTGTTTTTTAGCTTTTCCAGTAATTTTATTTTTCACAACAATATGTTTTTGAAGTTCTTGATAAAAATTGTGCTATGTTTAGAATAGTTCTATGCAGTGGTTCTCAGTAAAAATTATTTTGTGTGAAACAAACTTTTTAATATAAATTTTGAATTTTTAAAATTTGTTTTAAATTGCATGATATTTTTTTGGTAACAAAAGTTTTTCATAATATCTATAAAACAATTATTGGCAAATTTGAAGAAATATGCTATGATGAAATTACAAAGGAAATTTTCTTTTTTTTATGAACTACATTTTATTATCTGTAAATAAATATATCTTGTAAAAATGAATTTACAAATTTTTTATTTTCTGTTGCCCTGTATTTCCTTTAAGCATGGATGTTTTATATTTGCTTTCCACTTAAACAAGAACTCTGCTTGCATGTTTTGGACCTTTGCGCATAGCTTATGCCTAATTAACAACATTGAAGATGTTTCTGATTAAATAAACTTTCACATCATTTTTTTTTTTTTTGTTTACCTTTTTATCCTGATGTATCTTCCTTACAATTTTTTTAGTATGATCATTATTAGATTCTGCTTGCACTTATTTCCTTCCCCTTTTAGCACTGTTTACAGCTTTTCAATTATCTTCGAAAGGAGTGATGTGGCCTAAAAAAAATATTTTGAAGTTTGCATGGAGAATAATTGATTTCTCATAGATCTGCCAGGACCAGCTTTTATTGCAAGCTTTTGATAGATCTGAAAGATTTAATTTGATAAATTTTGCTCATAAGCAAAAATTTATAAATGCCCTATATACCCATTTCAATGTCAAATTGATTTGATGAACTTAAGAATATGCTTGTAAAATATGTTTACTATTCAGTTCATCGTCTGATGAACTAATAAATATGCTGGAAAAATATGTCTATATAATTTATACAGGGTTGAACAAAAAGAACCAGTTGGTAGAATTTGGTAAAATCTGAAAAATCTAGTGAGGAATGGTTGCCACCAAATAAAGATTCGCTAGTGCAACACAAAAAAAGAACTGATTTTGAAGCTTTTATCACATACACAAACAATTGCATATAGCAGTGACTAAATTACCAAAACTGTTTTATTGATTAAACCACCAAATCTATGGTTTTATGATAAAGCTTCCATTTATTTAATTATATCAATAAATTATGAAATGGCGCAAAAAGTTTTTTGGAAAAACTAATACCCTCAGGGCTTCACATGTTAAATAGAATTTAGGTTGTTTTAATTCCAAATCTCTTAGTAATAAAGTTTTTAACAAAAAATTTGAAACCAGTATATACCTGCAAACCATAAAGTGCCTTTGATGCCTTTGTCCTGAGTGCATAAAAATTGTTGTTCTTCATTTGTATTTGTGGTAAAGGAGTACAAAAATAAAACTTAGCAAAATAAAGCAAGTTTTATTTTTTAAAACCAACATTTATAACTTTGTATTCAGAATATATATATATATATATATATATATATATATATATATATATATATATATATATATATATATATATATATATATATATATGTATATATATATATATATATATATATATATATATATATATATATATATATATATATATATATATATATATATATATATATATATATATATCTTAAGTTAAAAAATTAAAAGGTTTTTAACTATAGAATATAAGGTTTTAAATTATGGAATACTAGAGTTGTAATGCTAGAATCTTTACAAGGCTGGAATTAAACATATTGCGATTGCAAATCATGATTTTTTTTTTTTGCACATTCACAATAAGAGAAGAAAAAAAAAATTTGCAAAATGCATTTTTTTTTTTTAAAAAAAATGTGTTTTAAAATTAATTTATTTTCTGTCATTTTTCTTATTTCATTTACATGCTAAAGTCAGTTATAGAAATATTTCTATTTATATCTTATGTTTATAACACCAAATAAGTTTCTAACTAAAAATTATTTTACCAAGAAATTTTGAGTACAATATGAAGAATGTAATTTTATTTTTTTTATATTTTTATTTTATTTATTGCGATATCAAGATTAAATGTTTTCTATCAGTGGCAGATTAAGGTTTTGTATCGTGGGTAGGCTAGAAGAACGAGTATGGGGCAACAGGGGTTAGGGGTGGCACATCAACTCTTAGAAACCTTTTTTTTTCAGAATCGCTCTTGTGATAATTATGTTTTATCAATGCTTTATATGCCTTTTATCATAACTATTAAGTACATCTAAGACACTAAACAATTTAAAATTTGAGTTTGCTAAGTTTACTTTGGTTGATAGTTATCGTTAAAAAAAGGGAGGCATTTTATATTACTTTAATGGTTAGGTTATTTAAAAATATATTTACACTATACATATAACTGGAACCAAGCATTAAGATAGAAATTAACTTTCCTTTATACTTTTTCCTTTATATTTCCTTTATGGTTTATACAATTTTTTTTCTGTAAGATTTTATTTGAAGCGGGTACAGAACCATCGTTGGACATCTTTAAGAATATCATACAGTCTTGTGACATCTATTAGGCATTGTATAAATGTCTTACTAACTGATTAAACAAACTTTCAAAAAAAATAACATTGTTTTGTCAATGTTGATCACAAAAATGGTAATATTTAGTCTACTGAAACTTCTCTCATCATAAGCAGCTATAAAAAGAAAAGTCAAATCAATTTTGTAGAGTATAGACAAGTTAGAAAAACATAATGTCATCTATTTCTCTATTAAGAATATGTCTTTCATTGAAAGCATTGAGTGGGTGCTATAAGGGTATTTGCCAAAAACTTTTTTAACATAAAAACAAATAATTGCTCCACAGTCTTGAAATCAGTTAGTTTATAATTTTTTGTTTTTCTTCTTTAAAAAAGAAAAGTCGTTTACTGTTTGCAAAGTCATTATAGTTTTATGAACACCTGTCACTGCACAGTCACAGTAGTTTTGATACATTGAACTATGTTATAAATGCATTGACTGTCAATGCATTTGAATGATTATAAAAGATATTTGCTTTTAAAAAATGTCTCCATTTTGTTTTTTACTATGAATGCTTACAATTTTGTAAAGGAGGTATGAACCGTGGTTTGTTGTTACCAAGTTTTTTATTTCTGTTTAAAGTAAATGCAGAATTTTGTAATGAGAGACATATTTTATAAGGCACAGGTTGACTGGCTTAGGAAGCACAGGGAGGGGGGCATGCCCTAAGCTGAATCTGCCACTGTTTTCTATAAATATACAAGTTGTTTTTAGGAATTCATTTTAAAAAGAAATCTATTTCAATAAGAGAATTCGATGTTCGTTATTCCCAGTGGCATAGCGAGGATTATTACTGAAATTTTTTTTCCCCTCTGTTAAGGTAAAAATTTGTTTAATTCGATTATTAGTTTGATTGGATAATTATCATAAATTAAATATAAAAATAGTTTTTATAAATTTTTTGTTGCTGTTACTTATCATGGATCATTCCAATGTGATATTTTTTTTCCAAGTGTTTAAAAGAAAATGAAAGGCTAATATTGTATATCTCTAAAAAGCACTCTATCAATTTTATTCAATCAATCAATCAGTCCCTCTATCAATTTTTACTGGGCAAGTAACAAATTTTGAATTGATTTTTGACTTTATTGATATTGACTTTGATTTATTTTTATTGGTTTCGTAAACAAAAAGTTTTTTAATAGATTATTCTTGATTTACATTGATAAAATTATTAATCTCGTTAAAACTCTTGAGTTTCATTAGATAAAAAATTTGGTTTCATAGAGTTATTTGGTTTCATTAAAACTTATTCAAAAAGTTTAAACTAGTTCAATATTCATTGTTTTGTAAACAAATCTACAGTAAAATTTTTTTTAGCTGTGGTGCTGAATATAAAGATCCTGCTACATAATAAAGCAAACTTGTAGATTGTATTCAGCTTTGTTTACTCTTTTATTTAATAGTCTCTAATCTGATTTTACTGTTGATATAAATGTTTTTGTTAAAAATTTTATTATAAATTAAATTTCATTATTAATTTAAACTCATCCTGTTGCACTATAAATTAAATGTTATATTATTTCCTAGCTTTGTAAATGTTCAAGTAATGAAGCCATACAAATTACTTTAGTTTTAAGAGTTAGTTTCATTTATAACACAAAAAATCCAAATGTTATAAGCAAAATATAATGCTAATTTTTGTGTCAAATAGAACTAAAATTACAAAATAAATTTACAAAATTTAGTAGGTATAAATAATAACATTTTTTAAATATTTGTATAGAGTATACGTTTTTGTACCTTTTGCGACCCTATGCTGTCCACCTAATATTTTTTTTCAATTTTGTTTGAAATTTATGTTTCGTGTTCATGCGTATTGCAAACAATAAATTTTAAAATCAAAAAATAAACTTAGTTCAAAGTCGTGATAAAAAAATTTATAAACTGATTGCCCTCACATGAAAGGGCTGAAACTTTAGATCACAAATATTTTTTCAAGTTTTGGTCATCATTTGACATATGTATGTGTATGAACATACACATTTTTAGATTTTGTTCTAAGTTTAAGTGATTGTTGTTGAAAAATGCTGTTCCTGCAAACTATATGACTTTTATAATTGTCATGTTCAAATTAAAGTTATTTCATATGTTACATTACCATTATTTTCAGATATTGATGAATGCGCAAACTTGACTGATCACTGTAACTGGGCAAACAGTGATTGTGTGAACACTAATGGAAGTTACTATTGCACTTGCAAGTCTGGGTGGAGATTGAATAACAACAGTTGTGTTGGTCAGTTTTTTGTAATGTTTTTAAATTATGTTTAATCATATTATTTTTATCATTTTATTTGAGGGTTAGTCACAAAGCCTCTACATCAGATAATTAAATTTTCATAATATTAACTTATACAGTAAAATAAAATTTAGTAAAGATGTATCTATGTTAAAAAAAAATCACATTTATAATTACACAAAAAAGACATTAGTTATGCCTTTTTAATAACTAAATTTAGAGAAGACTATTTTGAAGAGCTAAACAATGATTTAATCTCAAAAAGTTCCCATATTTTTACAATATCAGTAACTGAATAATAAAGATCAAGTTTTTGCTGTATTTAGAAAATATCCTATAGTTTTTTATGTGTTTGTGTGCATGTATGTATGTATCTATATATACAAAGCAGGTAGCGAGAAATATGCTATGATAACATAATACAGAGGAAGTTCTCCTTTTTTTATGAGCTTCATTTTTATCTGTAAATAAATATATATTTTTAATATTAATTTACAATTTTTATGGTTTCTTTTTTCTTTTTCGCTTTCATGATATTCATCAGCTGCTATATCACTCTTTTTACGAAAGTCTGTTTATATATATCTGTATATATATATGTATTAAAAGTAATGTATTAAAAGATATTTTAAGTGAGATTGTTTTAAGTTAATAAAACTTTGTGGTTATCAACTACATAACACTCTTTAGACTTATATCAAGAATATGGTTAAAGAAAATGGTAAAGTTTAAACTAAAGAAAAATCAATTCGAAGATACCCAGTGCTGGGTACTGCAACAAAATGGCCGATACCGGATACCCAGTAAAACAGCCGAATTTCCGGGTCCCCGTGTCCGAACCGAGTACCCGGCACATCACTAATTAAATATTTGATAGACTAGAGTCTATCATAGAGGGGGAGAATGATTGGAAGAAAATTGAATTAGCATAAAAGAAAAACAACATTCCGATACCACGATCAATATAACCAGTAAATAGCGACACTATGGCCATAACAAACTAAATAACAATTATGTGGTGACTATTTGAACAATAGTGTTTTTTTGTTATTGAACAAAATTTTTGTATAAATAGAGTTTTGTTGTTGTTGTTTTTCAGATACAAAAATAAAAAGAATATAAGTAATATAGTTAATGTAAAAACGGTTAAGATCTTAAACATATAAGTTATAATACATATTCGGTATTATTTGTGATTGCCATCGGATCACACCTTTTTGCGGATGGATTATAGGGATGACCTTTTTTAACAATACTTATAATACCTTTTAACAATTCCCATTTGGCGTAAAAACTGATGTTAATTCTGGTCGCAACTTAATTTTGTATTTTTTTATAATTGTTTTTATTTCAATGATTTTAAATATGCGACTTATGATTGCCGAATGGCATTAAACTTAAAGTCTCATTAAAAAGTCGTATTTTTTTTCATTGAAATATTTTGTTATCCCTGTACTCACAGAGATTACTTTTTTTCCTTTTTCGAGGACTGGGAATATCTCGGTCTTCCATGGCAAAACTATTTATTATACTTAAAAAAAAGCAACAACAACAATTCAAAATTTAATAGCAACAAATGAGAAAAAGATTTGATTAATTAAACCAGAGAGAATTTTTTTTTAAAAGGGCATATTTGAAGCAAATTCGTCTTTTTAATAAAAGCTAAAAATTCTCAGCTGGTTTTACTAGTACAAGAAGATGACATATCCTACAACAAACATGGTATACTTACATATACGTTTTTGTATGACCTTATGAAGAGTAACACCCAAAATTATATCTAATTGTTTTTTGATAATTACATCCCCATTTTTAGTTAATATTATATATCCCCAACTTTAGTTATATAATATATTTATATTTATATTTATTTATATATTATATAAACAAAGTTATATATATATATATATATATATATATATATATATATATATATATATATATATATATATATATATATAAGTCTAAGAGTGTTATGTAGTTGATAACCACAAAGTTTTATTAACTTAAAACAATCTCACTTAAAATATCTTTTAATACATTACTGCAAAAAAATTTATATGGATACAAAAACTGTAACACTAAATGAAATAATTCGAGAATACGAATAAAAATAATTGGAAAAAAAGTTTTAAAAGAGCTTCTTTTTATTCTGTTAGAACACAAGATAATTTTGCTAAGTTTTTATTCCAACTTTTAAAAAACGGACTCGGTGCCGAGTACCCGGACCAGGTTTTTTCAGCCGGGTACCCGGAATCAGAGACTCGGCATAAACTGGTTCCGGCACATCTCTACATTTAATTATCAAACTCAAGAAGACACTATCTCTTAATTGGTCGTAAAAATTCTTTTTCGCCAATTTTGACTTTCACAACTCTCACACGTCCATCCTTACCTTCAAAGACTCCCGTAATTCTACCAAGTGGCCAACGTCCTCTAGATGTATCTGGAGAAATTACTAACACAATGTCATCCGTATTTATTTCGCGTTTTTTTTCTGATTCCATTTATATCTTTTAGATAAAGATGGAAGCCATTCTCGCATCCATCGTTTCCAAAAATGACTTAGTAGTTCTTGCTCTCGACGCGAGCTTTTATTAGGATGATAGCCTTTAGATTGAACTGAGTCAGGTGCAAATTGTCCACCAACTTGCCCAATCAAAAAATGATTTGGAGTTAATGGAATATCATCTTTTATATTGGCACTCTGATATGTTAGTTATATGAATTCAATAAACTCTCAGTACCTGTAAATGCCGTACAGAGTTCTTCATCTGTAATATCGGCTTTTTTAAGTATCCCAGTCATTGCACGGTTGACAGCTTTGACCATTATTTCAAATACACCGGCAAGATGAGGTCCTAGCGGAGCATTAAAGTGCCACTTGATTCCTTTATAAGCTGTAGAAGTAGTAATTTTATCCTTATCTAAGTCGTTGACAATTTCGTTTAGTTCTCGACATCCTCCAACAAAATTTGTTCCATTGTCCGTTAAAATTTCTAATGGTAATCCTCTTCTATCTAGATTATAAGCCATCTCAAGATGTACTGCTCGTCATAGTAAACAGGTAAACAAGCACAAGTATCTCTTTTGTCGTATCTTCCCTCTACCTTGCATAGTAAGAAATGGACCAGCAAAATCGATACCAATTCTAGCAAATGCACGTAGTATTTCTTTAAAGCGCATTGCTGGTAAAGGGGCCATCAGCTGTTGAGCAAGTTTACATCTTCTTAATTCACATTTGTTGCATTTTGCTTCTGCATCTTGGATTTCTTCTCGTCCTCGTATTACCCAATACCGTTCTGATAGTTATGTTAATAATTGATTTGTTCCCATTACATGATTGGCTTCGTCATGCTTAACAATCAATTTTGTTATTGTATGTCCTCTCGGCAAAATGATTGGATACTTGGCATCGTAGGGTAAGTAATGGGCATTTTGCAATCAACTGCAAGATCGCAATAATCCGTCTTCGTCAATTTGCGGATTTAAAGAAATGATTTTACTTGATATCGATATCGGTTTTCCTTTTTCAATGTTGCTGTATTCTTCTTTAAAGCTTTCTTTTTGAGGTTTAGTTATGATTTCTTTTTCGCTTTCATGATATTCATCAGCTGCTATATCACCCTTTTTACGAAAATCTGTTTTAAATCGACAATTTCCTATAAACCGATGGATCCAGCCGTTTATCCTGACAAGTTTTTTCCAACATGAGAACTTGTTTATATCAAGCAATTGCTTTGTTACTTCAGTGAAAAATGCAAAATTCATTAATACTGGATTTTTCTTTACTTCAATTGAGACCTCTTGTGTAACTTCAATGTGATTCTGTGGCCATTTTTCTTCTAAAGAATTAAGGAAACTTGGTCCATGCCACCATAAATAATTGCTTTCTAATTCTTTAACTGTTGTTCCTTTTGTTAGTAAATCATCTCCATTGTTTTAGTTCAGTCTTTGATTGAATGAATCCAACGCGGTTGGCAACAAATGGTTTCAACTTTCGACTTTGATTTTTTATCTACCATTAAACGTTAACCATATAGTTACATCCTTAGTTTCCAGCTTCAATGCCTTGACAATCTTCTCTGCAAGTCGTAAACCGAGGACAGCTCCAAGTAACTCAAGTCTTGGTATACTAATAGGTTGCAATGGACTTACTTGGGCTTTTGACATTATGATCACACAGGTCACTTCTCCTGTGTCATATAAACATTGTTGGTAAGCAACAGCACCGTAAGCTTTACAAGGCGCATCCGTAAAAACATGCATTGACTTATTTGTTACTGTTAAGGTTGTTTGTAAACATCTGGGAATGATTATTTTTGGGAGATCGTTTAGTTCTTGAAACCATTGATCAACATTATTTGAAATCCTATCCGGAACTGCATCATCCCACTCAATTCCATCAATCCACAGTTATAACAGCATAATTATTTTGATACAGTTATACAGCATAATTATTTTGATTCGAATGATATATGGTGCCAAAAAACCCAATGGATCAAACAACGTTGCCATTTTCTAAAGCAAAATTTGTGTTGTATATACCGTATTTTCTTCGGTTGTTACAGAATGAAAACTAAATAAATCAGGTTTTGTTTTCCAGACAACTTTAAGTATTTTCATTGCAGGCAATTCTCCAGAATCTAAATTTATATGTTCTGCGCGATCATTTTCAGGTGTTATTTTAAGAACTTTGACCGAGTTTGAAAGCAACTTTCATGCAAACATTCCTGCTGAACCCCATAGTAGCGTGAGTTCCTAGTATAATTGAATTCCTACTCTTTTATCAACTACCGAAGTTATTGTGTTGTCCATGTAAGTTGCTTCAAGAACAGCTTCAGAAGCCAAAGGAAATTTTTTTGCATACTTTCTTGCGAGTTCTTGCGTTACAAATTGAGCCATAAAAGGTGCTGAGTTGATTCTAAATATGAGCCAATTAAACTGAAATACCTCAGGCTCAGCAGTTGAATCTAGGTTTCTCCATAAAATTCGTTAGCACCTTTGGTCATCTTTATGTATTCCAATTTTTAAATACATTTCTACTATATCACAAGCTAAAGCTACTGGGTATTTTCGAAATCTCAGCAAAACAGTTACAAGGTCTTGTTGAAGTTTTGGACCTTGATAAATAACATCATTAATTGATTTACCATTATATTTTGCAGACCCATCAAACACAATTCTGACTTTTGTAGTTGATTTATCAGGATGAAGAATTGGAAAATGTGGTAAGTACCAACCATCTCCAAGATCCCTTTTATTGATTTTCTCCAAGTATCCCTTTTCTTGATACTGCTTAATAATATTATTGAATTCTTCTCCTAGACTTTTGTTTTTCATTAGCCGTTTTTCCGTATTTTGTAATCTGTTTAACGCCATTGTATAATTATTGTCTAAATGTCTATTAACTTTCCATGGTAATTTTAACTCATATCTTCTGTTCTCAGTTTTTAGCAAATTAGTTACTATATAAAGGGCGGTAGAGTTTTCTGGACTTGTCATTGTTTTTCTGAATTGCATCTCTTTGTCGCCTTCAATTTCCCATAATTTTTTAATGGTGTTGTTTGCATCTTCTATTTCCTTTGTACTAGATGTTATTTTCATAAAATGGGTTTGAAGAGATCCACCAGTACCACCAACATATGTCCATCCGAGCAACGTGAGTCGAGCCACTGGTTCATTAAATCCTCCTTTTACTTCCTTAATTGCACAGTGCAGCTCAGCGTAATCCACACTGATTAGAATGTCAATTTTTGGTTTTGGTCCAATATTTGGGAATTCAATTTTTCTTAGATGTTTCCGACTTTTTGACATATTTGCCCAATTAACTGCTTTTAAGTTTCCAGTTACATTATTAACTGTAAAAGCTTCCACTGTAATTTTTGTTTCTCCATTCAACTATTCCAACTGAAATTCTACCGGCATTGTTTCGAAAGAATTAATTTTTCCATTTATCATGTTTACAGTTACCTTTTCGGTTTTACCTTGCAGTGACAACTCAGCCGCTACATCAGAGTTCAAATATGTCTTGGTACTTCTATCGTCAAGCAATGCGTTTACCACAACATTTTTATATCCATTAGGAAGAATTACTGGCTCCGTTCTAAGAGATATGTAGTTCATGACGTAATTTGAATAAAATTGTATGTTCGACGTATGAGAATTTTCTAATATTGTGTCTTTTTCTTTGTAGTCTTCAGAAATTGTTTCTTTTTTATGACTTTTCTTGTGAAGCAAACGATTATGGGTATCTGTACAGCCATCAATCCCACAAGTTCTTGTGTTCCTGCATTCTTTTGATGAATGGTTAGAACTCAAGCATCTGAAGCAGAGTTTATTTTTCTTAGCTGTCTTTTATCTTTCTTTAATATTTTAATTTTGAAACGTTGGACACTTCCATATTTTATGATCGTTTTTTCAAACAAAACATTTCTGTATCCAATTTATTTATTTTTTTTAATCACTGTTACCAAAGTAAGAATTTCCTTCGTGTGCTTTGCTATCAATAGTTTTTTTCAAACCATGTAGAGTTTCCGTTGCTGCAAACGATTTGAAAATCTGCTTCTTCAACAATAAACTTTTTTAGAGTTTTAACATTTTCGTTTAATTTGTTTTCATACACCCATCATTTGTATCTAATTAACATTATCTCAAGAACTTTTTTTTGCAATTGATGGTACAATGTCCCATTGCCAAGTTCTTCTGTTCCATTTGCTTCTTTTAAGTTTGTTACTGCCACATCTAACGAATCCGCAAACTTTTCAATGTCTTTTGGATTATTTTCCCTCATAGGTTTAAAGTTGTTCAATTCATCCAAATACATAAGGATTTTTCTACTTGTTCCACCATATTTTCTTTCAAGTCTTTCTTTTGCAGCTTCAGAAGCGAATGACGAATGCCCAAATCCTTCAATTGCTTTTAATGCGTCTCCACCTAAATATTGACATAACTGAAGTAATTTATACTCAGATGTCGCTGGGGCTTAATCAATGTATGCGTAAAATGAAGCTTTCCAATTTTCATAGTTCTTTTTATCACCATTAAATATTGGTATAGAGGGGCGTTTGAGTTGTTTCCATAAATCATGTCCAATTTTTGCAGTCTTTTGACTTAAATCAACTATTTCATTTTCCATTTTACGCATGATATGCGTTGATTTGATTGGTTCCATTTCACTATTCCTATTTTCTTCTTTATTATCTTCATACTGGTCATTACTTTTTTGTTTACTTAACCATTGATATCATTGCTTTTTTGTTTCCATCTTAAGTTCTTTTTCCATCCTTTGTTGTTTTAAACTTGATTTTAATTTTCCATTGTGCAATATCCATTCATTTACATGTTCCATAATTTCTGCAAATTCGTGGTTTAGTTTTTCAATTTCTGTATTGAGTTTTTCTACATTTTCTTTTGATTCCAGAAGTTCATATTTCTTTGATAATTCAACCATTATCTCGAGAGCTTCATTTTGAGTCTTTGGTAATTGATTACTCAATTCGCGTAACTCGTTTTTACAAGTGGGTTCATCGTCTCCAATTTGCTGAATAATTTGATGTTTAGTTCGCATAAACGAAGACTTTAGAACTATTTTCTTCCTGTTCAATGCAGATACTACATTTTGAACGGTTAACTGATCTTCCATTTGGTTATTTGTTTTTTTATTTTTTCTTTTTACCATTCTTCTGTGTTGAAGAAACTACCAATTATGATCTGATGGCGATCACAAATAATACCAAATATGTATTATAACTTATATGTTTAAGATCTTAACCGTTTTTACATTAACTATATTACTTATATTCTTTTTATTTTTGTATCTGAAAAACAACAACAACAAAACTCTATTTATACAAAATATTCGTTCAATAACAAAAAAGCACTATTGCTCAAATAGTCGCCACATAATTGTTATTTAGTTTGTTATAGCCATATTGGTGCTATTTACTGGTTATATCGATCATGGTATCAGAATGTTGTTTTTCTTTTATGCTAATTCAATTTTCTTCCAATCACCGTGTAATCTTTGCATAAATGAGAAATATTTTATTTTGACATACTATAAAGAACCTTTGTTAAATAAAAAAAAGTTAATTGGTTTTGGTATGTAGGTACAGAAAAAAAGTTTTTGCTATCGAATTTCAACACTGGTTAAATAAATTCCTGTTTGGCGTGAAAACTGACGTTTGATCTTGTTACAACACAATTTTGTATACTTTTATAATGGTTTTTATTTTAATGATTTCAAATATATGGCTCAATGATTGCTGAATGGCATGAAACTTAAAGTCCCATAAAAAAGTTGTATTTTTTTCATTTAAATATTCAATATATTTTGATCTATTTTGTAAGTATCGATCATTCTTGAACCGACAAACAGCTATATGATATCCAACAAAATATAACACAACTCTCTCTATTTATATATATATATATATATATATATATATATATATATATATATATATATATATATATATATATATATATATATATATATATATATATATATTTATATAATTATATATATATATATATATATATATATATATATATATATATATATATATATATATATATATATATATATATATATATATATATATATATGTATATATATATATATATATATATATATATATATATATATATATATATATATATATATATATATATATATATATATGTATATGTGTATATATATATATATATATATATATATATGTATATGTGTATATATATATATATATATATATATATATATATATATATATATATATATATATATATATATATATATATATATATATATATATATATGTTAATATAATATAATTCATGAGGTCGACCTCATTTCTATGTTTTATGGTAACGCCTTTGTGTCAAGTTTTTTTTGCCGACCTAATGCCAACCTCTAACAGTTTGAGTTTGACCTCAAACTGTTAGAGGTTGCGTGTTTGTAATTGTTATAAATAACAATTCCCAAACAATAGAAAATATTTGCATCACGTGGAAATACTTTTATTTGATTATGCATCAAAATGACAACAGTCTCATATATCCATTTAAATAAAAAAAAACTTTTTAATGCAAAGTATTGTGATTAATATATTTTACTATTTTGTTAAAAATTATTTTATTTATTCAAACACCCTTGTGTAATTCCTGTTATATAAAACAATCCTGTTATATATAACAACTCCTGTTATATATAACACCCTTGTATAACTCCTGTTTAACTATTTAACAAAAAAGTTTTTAAATCATATGATTATTTTAGAACTTTACTAAAAAATTCAAATCAAAAAAAGTATAAAAACAAAGTTGTGAGACAAAAAACAATTGGATTTCTGTCAAAAATTAGAAGTTTAAATCTTTAAGAAAATAGTAAATTCAAAGTGTAGTGAGTAAATTCAAAGTTTAGGGAGTAATGGTTGCCAATAATCTATAGTACAATCTTTAAATGATCTATGATATGATCTACAATACGTAGAAAATTCTTTTTACTTTACAATATTCATATTAGTATATCATATTTACAAAAATATGAGTTTTGACGTCAAAGTTTTTTACAAACAAGTTATTATTAAACAAAGCTTGCATATTAATAAAAATGCTTTCAAATACATAAAATTCATAAAATCGTAGTTATAAATTAAAATATTAATTACTTTATGTGACAAAATAACTAATTGAGATCAAACTTTTTTTGCATTATAAGTAAAATAAGACTTATTTAATGGCAATATAATAATGCTAAACAAACATTTACTGCATTTTAAAGTTATTATTAATAAGTAATAAAGTTTACTCTTATTACTAATGGAATTCTCAGAATAATATATTTTGAATATTACTTTATAATTGTTTTCAGATGTCAATGAATGCAATGAGTTGCCTAAATATTGCAACTTGACTAACAGTGATTGTGTGAACACTAATGGAAGTTACAATTGTACTTGCAAGTCTGGGTGGATATTGGAAAACAACAGTTGTGTTGGTCAGTTGTTTGTAATGTTTTTATAATTTGTTTTTCCCTCTTATTTTATGTATAGTCACTCGTACCACATTTTCAGGTAATTAGATTTTTTTTTTCTACCCATATATATGTTGTCTTAAATGACATTCTCAAAAATAAGTTTTTTTGAATATTAGTTTACAATTGTTTTTAGATGTCAATGAATGCAATGAGTTAGATAAATATTGCAACTTGACTAACAGAGATTGTGTGAACACTAATGGAAGTTACAATTGTATTTGCAAGTCTGGGTGGATAATGAAAAATAACAGTTGTGTTGGTCAGTTGTTTGTATTGTTTTTATAATTTGTTTTTCCCTCTTATTTTATGGATAATCACTAGTACCACATTTTCAGGTAATTAGATTTTTTTTTCTACCCATATATATGTTGTCTTAAATGACATTCTCAAAAATAAGTTTTTTTGAATATTAGTTTACATTTTTTTTTAGATGTCAATGAATGCAATGAGTTGGATGAATATTTCAACTTGACTAACAGTGATTGTGTGAACACTAATGGAAGTTACAATTGTACTTGCAAGTCTGGCTGGATATTGGAAAACAACAATTGTGTTGGTTAGTTGTTTGTAATGTTTTTATAATTTGTTTTTTCCTTTTATTTTATGGATAGTCATTAGTACCAGATAATGTATCTGGTAATTAAATTTCCATTTTATTAACAATAGAAAATTCAACAAAATAAAAACATGAATGCTATATCAATATTTGTTTAAAATATTAATCATATATTACATACTTACTAGCAAATGAGGACCCGTGAAACAGGATTTAGGTGTGTCAAATGAGTTAACTCTATTTGTTTCTAGAATTTTTATGTAAAAACTTTCCTGTTCATCAAAAAAACTCCATAGAATAAACAAAGGTCCATTTCGTGTCAAATCAATCCAAAAAAAAATTTCAGCATCATGCCTTCTCAGATTTTGATAATTTTTGGAATACAAGCTTATATTAATGACAAGAAACTTCACTCCAAATTATAGTGTCTAAGTCGTTACGGTTTCAGAAATAATGATACTCAGTCCCAATCTCTTTTTTTAATAGTTTTTCAGCGGTATTAATTTTTTAGGCTGAAAGTATAACACAATTAACTTTAACGTATGAAATAATTGCTCAATAGTGTTGAAAATGTGTACTTAACTATTTTTTAGAGAGAGGAACTCAAAAATGAAACTAAAAACACTAAAATTTTTAAAGCTTCTCTATGAAAATTCAATTTCAAAATGGTGTAACACTTTTTCTAAGTTTTTTTATGCCCCGTACAAAAAAAAGTTTATCTTGAAATGCCTAAGAGATATGATTCTGAAAACTTTTGCTATGATTCTATATATAACAAACTCCTTATTAAAAAAAAACTGCAAGGGTTTTCTTTTTTAAATCTGATTTATTTGCATTGAAAGATTTTCAATGCAAGTAAATCATTTAAAAGAAAAATTAAGAAAATTTTTTATTTAATAATGAAAAAAAAAATTGTATAAATTTTTTTTTTTTTTTGCATTTTTTTGATTTTAGAGTCTCAGGTACTGTTCTAATATGTAAACTTGTTTGCATTTTACGTTAAAGATTTTCACTTTAATACAACCTTCATGTTTAATAAAGGATTTTCTATTTACGACATTATTTTAGGGAGAGAAACTCTAAAATGATGGCTAAAACACTAAAAAAATTAAAGCTTTTATATGAAAATTTAATTTTAAAACAATGTAAAACTTTTTGTAAGTTTTTTGATGCCCTGTACAAAAAATGTTAATCTTGAGATATAATTATGAAATTTTTTCGTAATGTTCTATATATAATGTTATATATGAGCCATAAAATATAAAAACTGGTCATCTCTTTAAACTAAGTGTTTTTTAAATTAGATTTATTTGCATTTAAAGTTTTATAATTCTAAACTCCATATCATTTTTAGTTTCTATAAAAAATTAACGATGTATGAATGTTTTGCATAAAAGAATGAACGGTAAGTTTTTGTAACTTATCTATTAGAGTATTAATGAAGCTACTTGTGATTTCTGCTAGACTCACTAGCTTAGATTGATCTGTTGTCTTCAATTGTTTTTAATATATACAATGACCATCATCTTCATCAATATCTTCTTGAGAATAGAACTTATTTTCAAGATAATGTCTTAATATAGAAGATTAAATAATTGCACATGCGTGTGATTGCACACATACTGTATGTGTACCAGATGCTGATACTTTAATGCACCATTTTAGACGATTTGAGCTAAAGTGAGAAAAACTACTTTATATCAGGATAACTGGTTTTTAACTTAGCATACAGTAAATACACATACATACAGATGAGATATTTCTTTTCCTTTTTTTATTTCAGGGAAAGATAAAAAACATTTTTCAGCAGCAGTAATATCTGCACCATATAATTAGTAACATTAATTTTTTTTTCTATACATTTGTTAGACCAAGGTATTGGAACCAGTAATAATTGAATTTTCTGATTCCATTTGATTCCAAATTAACATTTTTTCTTTAATTTTTCCTAAAAGTATATCCATATCATTTGTTTTACATTTAACTTTCTTAGATAATTTATTGAAGGAATCTTCTTGCCTGAACTGATAAGGATCTTTATTAACTTATAATATAAACTTGTAATACTTTACAATTTTTTGAACATGTAATAATTTCTTTTTAATCGAGAATATAATGATTTTTTTTTTACCTTATGTTCATAACCGTCAAAAACGAATTGAGATTTTAGAAGTTCATTATCATCATTTTCATAAATCTGACTGCAATTTGGTTCTCCTTCTCCATCATTCTTAAATGACATCAATTTAGTTCATCATAATGGACATATCTTTTTTCCAGGAATAACATTAATACTAATGTTTTTCAATTTCCCAGCGAGTTGTTTATTAATTTCTTTACATTCTCATAAAAACATATAGTAATAATTACTACTTCAGTAAGTATTTTTCAAAAAAATCATATATAATTAGAATTAAAAAGTTTAAAAAATATATAATTAGAATTAAAAAGTTTAAAAAGTTTTCTTGATATCATTGGATTTCACTTCATTTTTGATATTTTGATTTTCACATCATTTTTGATATCATTTGATGTTTATTTGTGACAATTTTATTTTTTTATTAATCCAATTGAACATCTTTCCTTATCATTAATATTTTTATATTATTTTTTAGTTTTGTAAGAAATAATTTTAAAATAGTTATTTGAAGATTCGTAAATAGAAAATCCTTCATTAAACATGAAAGTTGTATAGAGAGAAGATCATTAATGTGAAATGCGAACAAGTTTATATATTAGAATAGTATCTGAGATTCTAAAATCAAAAAAATACAAATATATATATATATATATATATATATATATAATATATATATATATATATATATATATATATATATATATATATATATATATATATATATATATATATATATATATATATATATATATATATATATATATATATATATATATATATATATATATATATAACTTTTTTCTTCATTGTTAAATAAAAATTTTTCTTAATTTTTTTTTTGAATGATATATTTGCATTGAAAAATTTTCAATACAAATAAATCATTCAAAAAGAAAACCCTTGCAGTTTTTTTGTAATAAGGAGTTATGTTATATATAGAACCATAACAAAAGTTTTCTGAATCATATCTCTTAGGCATTTCAAGATACACTTCTTTTTGTACAGGGCATCAAAAAAGTTAGAAAAAGTGTTATATCATTTTGAAATTGAATTTTCATAGAGAAGCTTCGATTTTTTAGTGTTTTAGGTATCATTTTTGAGTTCCTCTCTCTAAAAAATAGTGTCAACACATTTTCAACACTATTAAGCAAGTATTTTGTAAGTTAAAGCTAATTATGTTATTTTTTTAGCTTAAAAAATAAATGGTGCTGAAAAAAATATTTAAAAAGAGATTGGGACTGAGTATCAATATCCCTGAAATCATCAGTCAGACACTAAAATTTGGAGAGAAGTTGTTTTTTATTAAAATAAGCTTGTATTCTAAAAGTTATCAAAATCTGAGATGGCATGGTGTCGAGCATAAATTGAATTGAGCTGGAATGACCCCAAAGTTTATTTTGTGTTTATATGTATGAATATGTTTTGGTATAAATATTTTTGAATAATATGTATATATGTATAAATATGTATTTCAAATGTTATGTATATATGTAAGAATATGTATTTGTATAAATATTTTCAAACTTTCTATGGTTTTATTTTTTTAACATATAGTATATATATTAATATATTTCTATTTTTTTGAGTTGTTTTTTTTTGTCCAATAAGTAGAAATTATAGATGCTTGCTGTGTTTTGTTTTTAAAGATTTGTTTTTAAGGTTTTAATACATTGGTTATGTATTGATTGTTATTATTTGATATTATTATTTAATATTATCATTTATATTTTTTTCTTGTTGTTTTTGTTAAAATTTTCAATTATATTTTACATATTTTGTTATTTTATTTTATTATTCATTTTATTTATTGGAATAAATATAAAAAATAACAAAATAAAAAGATAAAATGTGATTCTGAAGAAAAAGTTTTTTGGCTTTTATTTATTTGGTATTTGTTGATTTGTAATTATAAATAAATAATTAAAACAGTTTAATGTAAAATGAACAAATAAAAGTAACTTGAATTAAATTTATTAAAAAGGTTTATCTTTAAAATAGTTTAGAAATTTTAGTTCTCCTCGTTCATTTATTTGTTATTTGGCTAACCACCACTACATAACCACCACTACATAACCACCACTACATAAATTATATTTACACAAAAGCAATAAGATTTTTTATTTATCTTATACCTTGTATCGTATCATGTTTGCTTATTTTGAATATTAGTTTCTATATATACATACATATCAGGCCTCGGCGGGAAGCGAGAACTTTAGCTCTTGTTCTCGCCCACACTCCCCTAAAATGGTTTACGGGAGCAATTTGTGGCTCTCGCAAAAGTTCAATTTTTCTCACGAAAGTATAATTATAGTTGTAACTAAAATAAAAAAAACAATGTTATTTAAAAAAAAATGACTTGCTTAATATACTGCAAAGCTTTTTGTTGCACGGTTGTTGGAAAAAAATTTAAATTAAAAAAGTGCGTTGAATTAAACAAGGAGCAGCCAACCTGGCTCCCCAAGTTCGTTTTAGGAGAGCTTTTCTCGGCTCTCGTGCTCATTTATTCCCTCCTAGGCCTGCATATATATATATATATATATATATATATATATATATATATATATATATATATATATATATATATATATATATATATATATATATATATATATATATATATATATATATATATATATATATATATATATTTTTTTTTTTTTTTTTATTTATTTATATATATGTATACATGTATATATTTAAATTAGTAGAAAATCACTTAACAAAATTTTTTTTCATTTAACACTGAGTTTCATCAATAAAGACTCATCAGAAATTTCTGATGAGTTTTTATTTATGAAACACAGTGTTAAATGAAAAAGTTTTTGTTATGTGATTTTCTACAATTTATAATTGCTCT